TTTGTTTAAAGCGGAGAGTGAAAGGGATTTGTAAGTTTGCATCATTGTAAGCTGTAGGGATATTGACTTGGAGCTGTGACTGCAAATTTATGTGAATAGGTCATCAGCACACCGCCCTGCGACCCCGATGAATCCTTGCTGAGCTTTCGTCCATCATGTCACGGACATAGTCATAGCAGTACACCATGCCTTACGATAATTCACCAAAACACGAGGACAAGAAAGGTAGCCGGCTTCAAGCTTACCCACTTCTCATAGTCCAATTTGGTTTACTCAATTAGACATCTGATTTTTTAGCCGGATATCCTATGCCTCGTCTAAATGTTTGTTGAAATCTTAAATTAGGTGGATACGCATAACATGTGAATTAGCTGTAGATGAAATTTGAAACGAAGGCAATTATGACCGAGTAGCTGACCCCTCTTCAAAAACATTTATTTCTTCAATCTTGCAATGTTCTAGTGTCCACGTACTGTATGAACGCTTTGCTCTTGAGATGCGTGAGATGTGAGAGTCAGAAATAGATTAGGACTTAATCTCACCCCTTTCTCTTGCACGGTGGTGCTTCTCGCTTTCGCCCCCTCTATCTAATCCTATCCAACAGCCAAAAGTAGCTGCCACTTAAATTCCTACACTCATTCCTTCTCTTCTGACAGTTGGTCTTGTTGCCGATTTCTTTTGCTTCTCCAATCTTCAGTTTACTGATATAGTGACCACATCCAGTTAAACATTGTCATTAGACCAGAATATCTAATGCAAAACATTTGTTCGAAAAATTCCAATTTTTTTAAACAAATGCTTGCATGCTGTTATGTTTTCAAATAACATCTTATGTATGAGCCTACAGGACTTTTACACATAGACGCTACCGCATGAATACAAAACCTTGTAGCAGCCTGCTATGAAGCAGGCAACAGAATATTCTCGACAAGAAGGCATTAACGAGTAACCTAACTCTCTATACATATTCCTGATGTTCCACCTCCTCAGTAATTCGTCTATCTTCTTCGACAAATTACACAATGGTAGCATAAGGATTCTGGTAGTGGTCTAACTTCTTGTCTAGACCTAAATTTCTATTTCCCTCCATCTTATGTGACAATATTCTAAACTAATTGTCAACCAATCCTCGTGAATAATTGTTCTCGACCATCGTTCTCCTTAAGCCCGTAATTCAATATCACTCCTAGTCTCTTCTGGAAGATGGTCGATTAAACTTATGAGCTCCACCCGTATCTCCTCCCTATTATACTTACCGTTCAGCAAAGCAACCTTTAAAACGATGAAGAGCACTTACTCAGGGGTAATGCCGAATGCCTCTTTCGCAGTTTGAGCACCTTCTCTTCAAACATCCATTCCTCACCTTTACAAATTTTGATAAATGCTTCTTATACCTAAATAATTATTGTTATTTAAATTTGAAAGAAGCCTTTCACATTTTTTTCATAACAAAAGCCCAATAGGGGTTGAGTCAAACAAATGGATTTGTTTCCTCTACTCATGTTCAATTCAAGTACCAGCTACTCAAAATTGACAAGTATGCCTGAAAAGACAAGGCCAAAAATAAAACTATGATTAGCCAAGCATGCGAAACATTAGGGAGTCCTATAAAGCACCAACTACGCTAATTGGTTATAATTGAATTAGAAATGGCTGGGATAGTCCGACTCTACAGGAGTGAATGATCGACACCGTTCCACAAAAGTAGATTGAAAGATAGGAAAGGCGGATACCATGCGAAAAAGATTTAATTGCTTAAATCAATCATGAAATCTGGCAGATATCGGTTTAAAGTCATTTTTAATTATTACTACCTCCTCTTATAGACTCACTTAATGACATGAACATAAAGATATCCAAGCCAAGACAGTCAAGAGAGCATTTTTCCAATATTAAGCTTCTA